ATGCCACTCATGACTAGACAAAAGGCAAATTCATCTGACAGAGTAAAACCAAACTTTCTTCCCCTCCATGACTTCTTACTCTGAAATTAGCCTTCTCATATACAGATTCAGCAATTTCCTTGTCCTTCAAACCAGTACCATGAGTCTGATAAGTGTAACTAGGTCAGTAGAAAGGCCTGACAGTGATCAACATCTAGGAATCTCCTGGGCCAGACATAAAGCGAACATCCTCAACAGCAACAAAAGTTCAGGCTGGGAGAGACAGCATTTTTATGGCATATTTGTTAAGAACTATATTACTTGATTATTTTGAGAGTCAAAAGATAAAAACAAAGGCAAAAGGTAGTTCTATGGGGATGTTGAGCCTGGAACCCCAGGTTTCGCTGGTGGCTAGGGGAGCTTTTGCACAATTAAAACTTGTGTGCCAGTTGCACCCTTACCTTGGGAAGTCTGACTTGGTCACAGTGGTCCATGCTCTTGTTACATCCTGAATAGACTACTGTAACACACTCTACATGGGGTTGCCTTTGAAGACTGCCCAGAAGCTTCAACTAGTCCAACGGTTGGCAGCCAGGTTGCTCACCGGTATACAGAGAGCATACAAGCCCTCTGCTACGCCAGCTCCACTGGCTGCAGATCTGCTACCGAGCACAATTCAAAGTGCTGGTCTTAACCTATAAAGCCCTGAACGGTTCTGGCCCAGATTACCTGTTCGAACGTATCTCCTGTTACAAACCATCATGAAGTTTAGGATCAGCTGGAGAGGCCCTGCTCTCGATCCCACCACCATCGCAAACGTGACTGGTGGGGATGAGAAACAGGGCCTTCTCGGTAGTGGCCCCCCGCCTATGGAACTCTCTCCTTAGTAACATCAGATTGGCTACCTCCCTCCTGTCCTTTAGAAGAAAACTCAAAACCTGGTTGTGGGACCCAGCGTTTGAACAATAGAGGCAGCAATTGAAAATAAGACTCAAGCGATATGAATGACAAAGAAACTGACCCGGACTCTGATTTTTAAACCTGCATGATTTTAACAATTATTTTTTTAATGTAGCTGTTTTAATTAATTGGTTTTAAATGTATTTTATGATTGTGGAGAGAACTGAATAGTGCTTGTTGTGAAGTCCCCCTTCGGGGGTGAGAAGGGCAGGGCACATTTGTACGAAATAAATAAATAACTGTTAACAGTTTTGTTTTGTTTTTTGGTGATTTCTAAAGGAGCTAATTGAACAAAAATGGTAAGTAGAATTAAATTTACCTCTTTCAATGTGCATGGCTTGGACAATCCCATAAAAGAGCATTTTAATTCAACCATTTATTCCAGGAAATTTCCAAAGAAAATATAAATAAAAGACAAACCTCTTTTATCATGAAGGCACTTCTTACTCTTCTGACCGGCAAGAAGATTGGATGTCATGCTCATCTGCCATTCTGTACCATTACAACAGTTCATAGAAATTTAGAAAGGAGAATCAAATTGACCATTATCTGTTTTCCAGAAATAGGACTAATGATTTAATGACTGATAATCCATAAGCCGCAAAATAAAGGAGTGTAAACAGTTTATCCACGGGACACAGATAATTGCCTGCCACAAATATAGCGGAACTAAATGTGTTATTGAATCAAGAACACATTTAGTAAAATGCCTCCCAAGGCTTGATGCAAGGATATTACGCCCAAGCTACAAAGAAAGAACAAAGAAACCCATCAAGTGAAGCCAAACCCAGAAAGATGGAAAGGTTTTTCCTGCATCCATTTGAAAATTAGTAGTTTGACCAGCTGCCTGGTTGCCCCTGGTGACCAAGAATTAAATACAAATTGAATAGGTAAGTGAGTGGGCTAGAAAAGAAGAATCGGAGCAATCTGTCCCTCTTTTGCCAGCTCCTTAAGTGTCCGTGCTAACTGCTGAGGAAATAAGGTTATGGCAATGTAAAGGCTGGCAAAAAAAGGAAAAAAGCACTTTGCCTAAGCTTTACCACCCCAATGCATGTCTATCCTGTAATTATTTGTGCTATTATTTTTACTAGCCAGCCTATTACTCATAAGAGGAGCTTACGTGGAAAGCTTAAGAGGTAAGCAACATTAGTAGAAAAGAGCTACACAAAAAAAAACACATTTGTCCAGAATCAGAACACACAGTTCTATAATCCTTTAACTGTAAAATCCTTGCATTTAAAAAAACAGCATATATATATATATATATATATATATATATATAGTGCATATAGTTATTATTATTATTATTATTATTATTATTATTACTTCTTATCCGCCTCTCCTCACAGCCCAAGGCAGATTACAACACTGCTAAAACACATAATCAAAACACACAATCATTTAAAACACTATGTAGAATACACGGATTAAAACACATCTCCACAAAATACATACTAAAATGCACAAAACAAAAGTTAGACATAGAGTGGAAGTTTAAAATTCATCATTAAAACTATCTGGTTAGGCCTGCCGAAAGAGATAGGTCTTCTTTTGTAGAAAATGGCATTAGCAAACCAAGTTAAACCACGGGCTATAGTCAATGTTGTCAGTCGAAAGGCTGCCAGTTCGAAGTTGGATCAGGGTAAGCTCCTAGTCTTTAGCCTAGTTTCTGCCTACCTAGCAGTTCGAAAGCAAATGTGAGTAGAAAAATAGGTACCACTTTAAAAAGTGGGGAGGTATTTTGAGGCACCCATAAGGAGTACTGACCATTCAATTCAAAACAGGAGAAAATTACAAACAAGTTGTTCGGCAAAGAGATGGAGCAACAGCACCTCTCATCTATGTATAATTGTCTGTCTAGTTGTGTATAAAAACAGCATTCCTGTTTTTATACGCAACAGAATATAAATACCATAAATATTAAATAAATTAAAAAATAAATAAATACAACTGACATCAATTTATCTTACAAAGTGAAAATGGTTTGTTTGAGGCCCCTTTTACACTGCCATATAAAATCCAGATTATCTGCTTTGAATTGGATTATATGGCAGTGTAATCCAGTTCAAAGCAGATCATGTGGACTATCTCATTTGATAATCTGGATTATATGACAGTGTAGATCCAGCCTGAGAGTTGCTCTAGTGGTCTTGATCTAGCAAATGTCATATTCCCAGTGGTACGGTGAGGGCTGCATGTCTGGATGGAAATCCAGGATGAGTTGTTTTTGTTGTGTGTTTTGTTGTCATTCATTGCAACCCTAAAGCAAACCTTTCACAAGATTTTCTTGTGAAGATATGATCAGAGCAGCTTTGTTTTTTGCCTTCCTCTGACACTGAGAGAATGTGACTTATCTAAGGTCACTCACTGGGTTTTCACACTCAAGGAGAGATATCAACCTTGCTCTCCCAGTCACAGTCCAAAGCTGAAACCATTACACCACACTGGCTCCTATATAGGGCAAGAGAACTTCTAAAATAATTACCAGAAAGTTGCAAATATTGGTGGGAATGACAAACCAGTAATGTGTCCACATCTAAACCAGTGAGGATTTAGGGTTGATGCCAATTACCGCGCCATTCTTTTTTTTCTTAGACAGGAAAGACATACCCCAAAACTGCATAGTTTAAATGTTGATGTGATTACTTTTAAAAATACCTTCAGCACTATTCCCCATTTTTTTTATAATCAGAATAATTGCAGCAGTAAACTCAACTTCATTCTTGCAGGTCACAAAGCCTTGTTGTTGCTTATCATGAAGTCATTTCCAACAACTCTAAAATAAATTTATAATTGTGGGGGGTTTTCTTTACAAATTTATCATGGTGTTTTGTTTTTGTTTTTTTTTATAAGATTGCTTTAGAAGAGTTTTAGAAGAGGATAAATGTGACCTCCCATGTTCTCACTGATTCCATAGACCTGGTATTTTTTGTTGTTATGTGCCTTCAAGTAGACTCTGTCAAAGTGTATTCTTGGTAATATTTATTGAGAGTCACTTTTCTCAAAAGCTAAGGAAGTATAATTTTCCCAAGGCCATCCCATAGGTTTCCACACTGAGCTGGGATGTGAACCCCGACCTCCCAGAGTCCTAGTTCAACACTCATACTACACCACACTGACTCACAGTCATCACATTGCACCACCTGATATTCGTCAGGAAGTAGCAGCCAGTAATGAAAGGATCAAGGCATTGACATCTCCAGCCCATCCTCTATTCAGATATCAGCCAGCATGCCAATGTCTTAAATCAAGAAATAGTTTCCTGAGATCTACAGAGATACTCATAGGAACACCTCAGCAAGTGATCCAAAATTGGCAGGCTAAAACCCAGCACCTCAATCAGTGGCTGAGACAGTCTGAGAAACTCCCTCCTGGGCACACAGAAGATTGGGTGGCTTGGAAGGTGCTGAACAGACTTTGCTCTGGCACCACGAGATGCAGAGCTAATCTTAAGAAATGGGGCTACTAAGTGGAGTCCACAACATGCAAGTGCGGAGAAAAACAATCCACAGACTACTTACTAAATTGCAGTCTGAGCCCTGACACATGCACAATGGAGGACCTTCTCACAGTGACACCAGAGGCACTTGAAGTGGCCAGCTTCTGGTCAAAGGAAATTTAGTAAAATGCCAAGTTTTTAACTTTTTTTATTATACATTATACATTATAACTCTATTCTCAATTCACTTCTGACACAATAAATAAATAAATTACAGTGGGTGGATTTAATTGATTTTAAAGACATAAGCACACATGCCCACAGTATTTTTTCTTTCTAATCGGAGAGCCCTGGAGGTATAGCTTTTGTTTTGTTTCTGGTTTAATATGTCAAATATATCAGGAATGTAAAGCATAGAATGACATTGATGGCTCAGAAGGGTGAGAAATATTAGCTGTCCCACAATGGATGACATACACATGACTACCTAAAGAAAGCCCCCATAAGATGCTTAAGTCCAGAATCTAAAGTTACTTAGCTTTGCCACTGCAGGTTCATCCCAGGGGAGCCGGCAGATTGCAGGTGCTTAATTTAGCATTTTATTTCATGGGTCACCTCTTACCTATCAGGAATTCCGAGTCTCTTGACACTTCTGTAAACGGAAAGGGTATTGGCCACATGCCGGTAGTTAAACCAAAATCGTGAAGTGCATACCTATAAGAATACAGAAAAACACATATACATGTAAATGTACAAACATAAAATTAAATAAAAAGCATAGCTTAAAATTGCTACAAAAATAAATAGCAAAGAACTCTGCAAGTAGCAAGACGTTTCTTTGACATTTCAGCAATTGCTTCTTATGATTTCGGAGCAAGCTTAAGAAAAAAAATTAAATCTGTGGAATCAATGCCTGCTGTAGAGATGTCAAAATTCTTATTTATCTTAATATGTTCAATGTATACAAGGGGTGTTCATTAAAAATGTCCTCTGGCCCACGTCTATTTATCACAGCACGCTGAAACTGTACACGTGTAATGATATAAACCTCTACAGGTTATGTGCCAATTTACAACTCAGAACTGATAATGGTCTTGATTTTACAGGAGCTAAGGTGGTGTGAGGTTTGATAATGGACTCAGTGGAATACAGAGCAGCCATAAACTTCCTTTACTTGGAAGGCCACACCAAAGGAGACATTCGATGAGATGAAAGAAATTTATGGTGATGATTCCCCATCATACAATGTAGTCAAGAACTGGCATTGTCAATTCAAATATGGTCAGACTTCGGTGCAAACAGCTCCAATTCCAGGGTGACCCCATTCTGCTATTGATGAACACACCATCAAGCAAGTGGAGGTCACCATTTTGGAAAATTGCCACGTAACCATTCACCACCTAGCTCAAAATGTCATGATTCGTGTAGAGTCTGTGGAAAAAAATCATCCAAGACCATTAACATGCATAAGGTATCCACTCGCTGGGTCCCCCAGCTGCTCACACTTTTCCAGAAACAGGAACAAGTCAAATGATCTCAGGCTGTATTGACAATGTTTCATGGAAACCAGGAGGACTTTTTCAACAGACAAGCTGGATCCATCACTATGATCCAGAGACTAAAGTTTAGTCGATGCAATGGAAGCATCATGACTCACCGCCTCCAAAGAAGGTGCGTGCCCAATTCTTGGTGGGCAAGATCATGCTCACAGTATTTTGGGACCAGTACGGAGTAGTATTGATGGATTTCCTAACAAAGGGTACCATGATCACTTGAGCATACTATGCTTCACTGCAGCAGAAATTGCGGGAGGCCATCAAAATTAAGAGATGGTGTCTGCTTTCTGCAAGACAATGCACCAGTTCACAACTCACATGTTGCCCAAATGGAAGCATGCTCCTGTGGCTTTGAAATTCTCCTGCATCTCCCCTATTCTTCCAACCTCACACCATCAGACTTCCATCTCCTTCCAACAATGAAGTTATTTTAGAAGGGCAAGCATTTTTCACATGATGAGACTCTGATTTCTGAAGTCACAACATGGCTTTTGGAGCACCCTGTCAAGTTCTACAAGTGAGGTATTTGCAGTTGCTTAAAAGATGAGAGAAGTGTGTGTCCCTAGGTGGCACCTATGTAGAGAAGGACTAATAACTGTGCCAAGTGTCATTGCTCTCAGTCCACAGGAAGTGGGTCAGGAGAAATCTTTAATGAACGCTCCTCATATAAAGTATAAGTCACCGATAACACATACTATTTGACATGTATCAACCTAAAACTGTCCATGACTCTCTACTGCTATGTATTATCTAATTCTTGAGATAGCATCTACTCTCTTCCATCCCATCTCTATGTGAAAGCTAAAAGCAATTAATGTACCATGGGATAAACAATATTTCTTTCTTTTGGAGCTATTTCTGCACCTCAATCTTAGGGAAATGGTATTCTGGCAACGTTGCAGAAAGAAATTTGAAAAACTTACCAAAACTGCCCAGTTGTTTGTGTGCCCACTTCTAAAAAATTGCTCTGCCTGATCCTGAAAGGAAAATGTACAACATAACTGTAAAGGAAAACAAACAGCCAAGAACACTGTTGCTCGCCAGAATTGCATCTGGAGGGATTTATGCTCCATAGCAGCTTGTCATTAAAATCAATTTCATAGAGGGTACAACACGCCTATTAAGCAAATAAAGAGTGAGACTGAACAAGGCACGGCAGCTCTGATGAGGGAGGATCTTTTTTTTGAGTGCTGGAGCTCATTATAACAGTCTCACAGTCGCATTAACAAGCAGTCTGAACATACAGGGTTGATCCATAGAAACCAGTTCTAATAGTATCCATATCAACTAGGAAGAGTGTACAAAGAGAGCTTATAGCATCTTAAGAGATAAAGTGCTTATTATGATTAAGAAGTCGTTAATCTCTAAAGTGCTACAAGATCTCTTTGCGAACTGATAATACAGACCAGCATGGTTATGTCTTTGAATTCCAACCATTTTGTGAGTCTTAATTAAGTATCCAACAAGCCATCCCAAAACATTTTTATAAAAGCACATATAGTACAATCCTTGAAGGACATGGTTTTCTCAGCTAATATAAAAATAGCTCACATATCACACCCACCATGGCATCAATTATTATTGTAGTTGTTACTATTATTATTTGATACACAACAAGATTAGTGCACAGCAAACAAGATCACTATGCTAACTTTTGTATTCAATCACACGTCTGACACTTCCCAAGTGCCTAGGACTGTGTGATATATTGGCAAATAATACATGCAGATCCAAGTAGGGTGGCCTTTTGCAGCTGAGAGATGGTCATTTTGTCTGCGCCAATTGTTTTCAAGTGCAGGCCAAGGTCTTTAGGCACTGCACCCAGTGTGCTGATCAACACTGGGACCACTTTTACTGGCTTGAGCCAGAGTCTTTGCAGTTCTATCTTTAAATCCTCATATCATGTAAGCTTTTCCTATAGTTTTTTGTCAATTCTGCTGCCACAAGGAAAGGCAGGTAAGAAATAAAATAATAATAATAATAATAATTATTATTATTATTATTATTATTATTATTTCTTACCCGCCTCTCCTCATGGCTCAAGGCAGGTTAAAACATAGCTCAAAACACATAACCATCATAAACATTATATAGATCATACATATTAAAATGTAATTCTACAAATACATATATTTAAAAACACAGAACAACAATTAAAATAATGTGAACACAAAAATGTGAGTTTAAAATTTGTGATTAAAACTGGCTAGGTAGGCCTGCCGGAAGAGATAGATCTTTAGATGGTTTCTAAATTCCAACAGCTCTTTTAGCTGTCGTAGCTCTTCTGGTTGATCGTTCCACAGTCCTGGGGCAGCCAATGAAAAGGTCCTCTGAGTGATGGTTGCCAGTTGGGTTCTGGCTGGTTGGAGTAACCACCCCGCAAAAGACCTAAGGGTTCAAGGAGGATTGTACAGGAGTAGACGATCCTGTAGGTAACATAGACCCAAACCATGTAGGGCTTTAAAGGTCAAAGGTCAAAATCAACACTTTTTAGTTTGCCCTGAAAGTATCTGGAAGCCAGTAGAGTGACTATAGGTGTAATATGCTCATTCCTGGATGTTCCTCTGACTCAATGTGCCAAACAATTATTGGGCAACAGCAATAGTGGAGGGTGACACTAGCAGAGGATCTCCCAGAGCACTTCCACACAGGCCAATAACCTACGACGAATCACGGGTTTACCAGACGAGTCCAAACAATGCCTCACCTAAACCCAAAGTAATCCAGAGTAAACTGGGATTTCCCTGTATACTCTAGATTAATTTAACACCTGGAAAGAATCAGACCTTAATATAATTGGGACTGTGGGGATTGACTCCTGAGACTGTGTTCTGCGATCCCAGGAGTCAATCCCCAATGCCATTTGGTTCTGTGGACTCTCAGTGCCCATAGGAGCAGGACGGTACCTCCACCCTTCCCTCCCAACACCCAATTTTGCCCAGTGGTTCACAACCTTTTCTTGACCAGGGACCACTTGACCAGGAACCACTTTGACCAGAGACCACTCTCCAACATTAGGACCAAAAGGGTTATGAATCAGTTTTGGTGAATTTGAGAGGTCAACAGTTGTTCATCAAAGACACATTCTTCAAGCAATCAAAAGACAACGTGACCTGATGAGCAATATATAAATCAAACAGAATATATAATTGGAAACATATTATCTGCAAAAACAATACAAGGGGCAGATTGTGGCACAGACTATGAACTGCTAAAATAAAAAATCAGTGTAAAACTAAGAAAGAATACTAAACTACCCATCATGCCAAAATACAACTGAAATAATATTTTTGTAGAAGTTAAAGATAAAACTAAACTATTAATTGTGATTCTCTGGGAACAGAGGTACTCTGTACTGAAGTATGGGGTAGTGTTAGGGAGGAATGTCAAGAGACACAATCTGCCAAAAAGAAAGAAAAGCTCCAAAAGTAGATTGAAGAAACCCTTCAACCAGTTAAGAGATAAGAAGCAAAAGAAATGTGACAGAATTAGGATCAGAATGCAACTCTCCAGTGACTTGTGGCTAGGGCCAAAAACAAAGACTATAATAATCAGTAATAATCAATAAATAACTACTATAATAAACGGAAGATGACAACAAAAATGAACAAGAGACCTATTTCACAAGATCCAAGAAATCATTGGGAAATTTAAATCAAGACTAAGGAAGCTCTACGACCAGCAGGGGAACAATTACACAAACAAGTATAAATAAAAAAGATGAAGAGAACTATTCATGAACAATTATGTAAAAGAGATGCAATAATTGCAGATTTACTCAAGGAAGAACCATTTGAGGATTAAGCCATAATTTTATAAAGTGAAGATTGGGAATGCTCAATATACATTACAAACTCTAAAAGGGGGACATCAGGGTTACAGGAACCATAAAACCATTGCACTAACCTCCTCTTCTAGCAAAGTGACACTCAAAATTCTACAAACTAATGATTTAACAAGACATGACACTAGGTCGATCATCTTTGGGTCTCTGTTTTTACTGTTGCCACTGTGGTTCAGAGTCTTAGATTTCATCTGTGGCTTCATCATAGGCTGAATCTATACTGCCTTATATCCCAGGATCTGATCCCTGATTATCTGATTGGAACTGGAATATACAAGTCTACACTGCAAGATAATCTGTGATAAAACAGATAATCTGAGATCGGATCCTGGGATACAGGGCAGTGTAGAACCAGCTTGGATCCACACTGCCACATAATCCAGGCTGGATCTATACTGTCATACAATCCAGTATCTGATTCCAGATTTTCTGCTTTGAACTGGATTATATGAGCCAACGGGCCCTTCCAGACAGGCCCCATATCTCAGGATTTGATTGCAGGTTTTCTGTTTATCCCAGATTACCTGGCAGTGGGGACTCAGGGTCCTTCCACACAGCCATATAACCCAGAATATCAAGGCAGAACATCCCACAATATCTGCTTTGAACTGGGTTATCTAAGTCCACACTGCCATATTCAAAGCAGATAATGTGGACTTTTATTCAGCTGTGTGGAAGGGGCCTCATATAATCCAGTTTAAAGCAGAAAACCTGGGATACAACCCTGGGATTCAGGGCCCATCTGGAAGGGCCCTACACTGTCATATAATCCAAAACAGATAATCTTGTATCAGAAACTGGGGGCCCTTCAACACAGCTGTATAAAATCCACATTGAACTGGATTATATGGCAGTGTGGACTCAGATAACCCAGTTCCAAACAGATATTGTGGATTATCTCTCTTAATATTCTGGGTTATATAGCTGTGTGGAAGGACCCTGGTACATACAGCAGTGTGGAAGGGGTCCCAGTTTCCGAATCCAGTTCCTCTGTTTTGAACTGGATTATGTGAGTCTACACTGCCATATAATCCAGTTCAAAGCAGATGGTTTGGATTATATGTCAGTGTAGATGGGGGTCCTTCCAGATGGGCCCTATATCCCAGGATCTGATCCCAGGTTTTCTGCTTTAAACTGGATTATATGAGTCCGCGCTGCCAGGTAATCTGGGATAAACAGAAAACCTGGGATCAGATCTTGAGATATTGGGCCTGTCTGGAAGGGCCCCAAAACAGAAGATGGGGACAGAATTCAAAAGGAGCTAGGTAAACTAGACAATTGGGAATCCTGGGAGTTGTAGTTTCACATCAGCCTTTGGCCTTCTTTGCCAAAGAGTGCTGGTTCCACACCAAACTACAACTCCCAGGACTCCATAGCACTGAGTCACAGCAGTTCAAGGGGTGTCAGCTGCAGTGTAGGACGATGAACCCCAAATGCTTTTACAGGGCTACTGATTTGCACAGAGGTTGCAAGGGGAAGGGGGCATCCAGGGCAACCCTCCCTTCCGCGGATAGAGAGGGAGGGAGGGAGGGAGGGAGGGAGTGCCTACCTGGGCTCCGTCCGCGAGCGCTAAAGCCAAGCAGCTCAGTAAAACGGCGGCTAATTTGGCTGCAGAGCGACAAGGCGGAAGCACCATGGAGGGAGCCATGTTCACCAGCCTCATGACCCAAAGGAGAGAGGAGGAGCTCCTGCAACCCCGCCTTTTCTTAAAGCTCCCGCTGCTGCTGCCAATGCTGCTGCCTGCAAACTGGCCGAGGATCCAGCCTGTTCAGGAAGGTCGCTGCAGTTTTGGGTATAAGGCGCAGGTTGGTTGCCCTTCAGCTGCCAATGGCTCAATTCTATGTGAGCCTGGGAGTTGTAGTTTGGCACTTTTTGGCGGAGAAGGCTCAGAACCTTGCAAAAACAACAACTCCTGTGATCCCATACCATTGAGCCCTCTATATAAATAAAAATGTAATGTTAGTTTGTGAAATTAACATAACTCAAAAACTACTGGACCAATTGACACGAAATTTGGACACAATACACCTGACAGTCCAACGAGTGTCCATCACCCATAAACACACACACACAAAACCACAGCGGAACAGACTTAAAAACCCCCAAAATACACCATATATACATATACACATACACTCATATACATATACTCATGCATACATTCATACACACTATATATGCACAAACACACAAATATATACATATGCACACATACATGTACATACATATATACATATACACATTCACACACACATATATATATACATGCACACACATATACATATCCACATACATATATACACACAAATATGCATATAGACAAGCACACACATATACACAATATGCATGTACACATATAAACACACAAATACACAAATATATACACACACATATATACACCCACATATTTACACAAATACACACACACACATATATATCACATGCACACATATATACACACACAAAACACATATACACAGGCTGGCCCACAGCAATGCCTGGCAGGGGACAGCTAGTATAATATAATTCAGTTTAATTCTCCGCTTCCTTTGTCCATTTGCAACCTGACTAGTTTGCAAGCCATAGGTGCATCCACACTATAGAATTAATGCAGATTAGCATCACTTTAACTGCCGGTGGCTGAATGCTATGCAATCAGGGGAGCTGTGGTTTCATAAGGTCTTTGGACTTCTCTGCCAAAGAGTGCTGGTGTCTCACCAAACAGTTCCCAGCATTCCATAGCATTGAACCCTAATTATTAATATGGTATTAAACTGCATTAATTCTGCAGTGTAGATGAACCCAAAGTCTGAAATGCATTTGGTCATGCGTGAGACACATGAGTGTGGATGGATTTGAACTCCCGTCATACTATATCATGCCCCATAATCTTATCAGTATAAGGTGGATCATGAAGGATATATGTTCCAGGTTTGGTCCAGATCCATCATAGGTGACCATGATGTGACTCTCCAAATGTAGGTGGTCTACAACTCTCATCATGCTTTGCCATTGCCCAAAAACCCCACCAGTATTTTAAGGTTACCATTATGGGCACATGTACCAAGTTTGGTCCAGATTTGATGTTGGTGGTACTAAGGTACTAACACAGTGATCTGGATGTGGGTGGACTACAACTCCCATCATCCTCAGTCAATTCCAAGTACTAAGTTTGGTCCAGATCCATCAAACCATGTATGAGCTATTCTGGAACATACATCTTTGTTTTGTATTTTATGGAGAGACATCGTTAACATCTGAAAATCACAAAATAAAATACATCATAAAACATACCATATGTTTTCAGATATGCAGATGACACCACTCTGATGGCTGAAAGCGAGGAGGAGCTGAGGAGCCTTCTAATCAAGGTGAAAGAAGAAAGCGCAAAAGCTGGGTTGCAGCTAAACATCAAAAAAACCAAGATTATGGCAACAAGAATGATTGACAACTGGGAAATAGAGGGAGAAAACGTGGAGGCCGTGACAGACTTTGTATTTCTAGGTGCAAAGATTACTGCAGATGCAGACTGTGGCCAGGAAATCAGAAGACGCTTACTTCTTGGGAGGAGAGCAATGTCCAGTCTCGATAAAATAGTAAAGAGTAGAGACATCAGACTGGCAACAAAGATCTGCCTAGTCAAAGCCATGGTATTCCCTGTAGTAACCTACGGATGTGAGAGCTGGACCTTAGGGAAGGCTGAGCGAAGGAAGATCGATGCTTTTGAGCTGTGGTGTTGGAGGAAAGTTCTGAGAGTGCCTTTGACTGCGAGAAGATCCAACCAGTCCATCCTCCAGGAAATAAAGCCCGACTGCTCATTGGAGGGAAGGATACTAGAGACAAAGTTGAAGTACTTTGGCCACATCATGAGACAGCAAAGCCTAGAGAAGACAATTATGCTGGGGAAAGTGGAAGGCAAAAGGAAGAGGGGCCGACCAAGGGCATGATGGATGGATGGCATCCTTGAAGTGACTGGACTGACCTTGAAGGAGCTGGGGGTGGTGACGGCCGACAGGGAGCTCTGGCGTGGACTGATCCATGAGGTCACGAAGAGTCGGAGACGACTGAACAAATGAACAACAACATGGCAGTGTTTCTCAACTTTCCTAATGCCTCGACCCCTCCATACAGTTCCTCATGTTGTGGTGACCCCAACCATAAAAATATTTTCATTGCTACTTCATTACTGTCATTTTGCTACTATTATGAATTGTAATGTCAATACCTGATATTCAGGATGTAATTTCATTAACTGGACCAAATTTGGCAAAAATACCTGATAGCCCAATTTGAATACTGGAGGGGTTGGAGGGGGGAATTGATTTTGTCATTTGGGAGTTGTACTTGCTGGGATTTGTAGTTCACCTACAATCAAAGAGCATTCTGAACTCCACCAGTGATGGAATTAAACCAATCTTGGCACACAGAATTCCCAAGATCAATAGAAAATACTGAAAGGGTTTGGTGGGCATTGACCTTGAGTTTTGGAGTTGTAGTTCACCTACATCCAGAGAGCACTGTGAACTCAAGCAATGATGGATCTGGGCCAAACTTGGCAGGAATACTCAATATGCCCAAATGTGAACAGTGGTGGAGTTTGGGGGAAATAGACCTTGACATTTGGGAGTTGTAGTTGCTGGGATTTGTAGTTCACTTACAATCAAAGAGCATTCTGAACCCCACCAACGATAGAATTGGGCCAAACTTCATCCACCATCTGTTTCCAAAAAGGAAACAAAGGGATTACTAAGACCATCAGAAATATGTGTTTTCTGATGGTCTTTGGTGACCCCTCTGAAACCCCCTCACGAATCCCCCAGAGGTCCCCACCCCTAGGTTGAAAAACACTGCCACATGGTGACGTCATATGCACAACCCCGGATTCAAGACACCTGTATATGTTCTATTAGGACCAACCTCTCCCTTTGTTCCAAGCCATAATGGCAGAGCTTTCTGGGAACTGAAGTACAAAACAGGAGGTGAATCAAAGGTTGGAAACCCCTATACTGGAAGGCTCCACTTGCATATTTGAAAACAGAAGTGGTATTACAAACACACTAAATTTCTGTAGTGCTGTACCATCCAAAGCAAACTACACCCAGTAGTCCTGTAAGTGGGGCTTCTCATTTCTCAGGGGAAAGGGGGACATATATTTGATAGGCAATTTTGAGGCGCAGGGAATGAATGCATACTGTCCATGCAAGTTACCTGGTTTGCATCAACACACAAGCGCACCTAGCCCTCCCCTTCCATTATCGCTTTTCACTCACACAAAGCAGAAACATAAAGGAGCAAAATTTCCTGTTTCCATGGATGCATGAGTAAGGTTGCCAAAAACGTAAGGTTCTTGCTTGAGTGGAAAATCTCTATATTAATAGGAATGGTTTCTTTTTGGATTTTTGTGAGTAAAGTGACAGTGCGAGGTCACAGCTAGCTACTCCTTTGTTTGGGTGTTTATTCAAACAGGCTACATTACATCGAAATAAGGGTCTATCTACACTGCCATATAATGCAGTTTGGAACTGCATTACATGTTCAGTGTAGACAATTCAATACACTTTAACTGCATTATACCTGTGTGCTGAGAATATAATGCAGTTTCATGTCAGGAGCGACTTGAGAAGCTTCAAGTCACTTCTGGTGTGAGAGAATTGGCCATCTGCAAGAACATTGCCCAGGAGATGCCCGGATGTTTTACCATCTTGTGGGAGGCTTCTCTCATGTTCCCACATGAGAAGCTGGAGCTGACAGACGAGAGCTCACCCCACTCCCCAGATTCAAATTGCCAACCTTTCAGTCAGCAGTCCAGCTGGCACAACCCATTGCACCATCGGGGGCTCCTACACTGCATTATATGGCAATATAGATGTGGCCAAGGTTTGTGTATTCTGAAACTGTGTATAATAATATTTGGGGCCTTCCAAGGATTCCTTCAGATCAATTTTCTTAAGAGGTTTGTTTTGACATTGTGATCTATACCTAATGAAGAAAGCCCTACTATCCACCTATTATTTTTGTACTGTATTCATCCTGTTTCTTTTTTTATCTTTTTCTTTTCTATTTGTATTGCATGCTTTCAAAGCAACAATTGCAACCTGCTTCTTTTCATCTTCCATTATCAGAAGTATAAAGGTCTTTTTAACCTCTTGAAAGATAATGGGGGAAAACCGAGGAGTAGAATGGAAGCAATGACAGTAAAAGCTTTCTGTAGTGTTTCTGCAATATACCTATCTCCTTCTGAAGCAGTATAAACAGAAACTAGAACTTCGTAAGCAATGTAAAGGAAAAAATAATTACAACTATGCTCATTTTAAAAATAATATTTATTAATTTTAATATAAACAATCTAATTCACAATCAAAATAATAAAGATTCAGGAAAAAATGACAAAAAATATTGTGTTTCAAATATTGTGTTACACATGTATATATGAGTGTTATCTGGAAAATAAGCTTACAAGGCTCATAGCGCTCGCAGGGAATTTTCGTGGGGAAAGTTGATATCACTGCCATGTAGTGGGAAGCCAGCAAAAGCAAACGAGCAGTGCCAGTCATCAGTAGCTCATAGACTGGTGTTGTAGTGAAGGTTAGAGATAAGCATCCTCATTCCATTTCCCTTCTGTCTGTCTCCTTCCTGACAATGCGTTTCCACACACCGTTCATGCAGTGAGTTGTTGATTTCATT